ACCCGGGGGGGGGGGGGGCGGTGAGTATATTAAGAGACATCTCAAAGTGACTGGCAGAATAGAAGGTAAGAGGAAACTGATAAATTCAAATTTGAATAGTTTGAAAATAAATTCTAAAGCTGATACACTTCATAAACTTAACCATTTTGCCATTTCAAACCTGAATCCAGTAATAAAAAATAATTGAAACACAGCCTGTTCTTTTAATAAATGTAATTTATATTCACCAAGGCCAATGAAACAGTAGTAGTGCCTCCCCTATTCAAAAATGGTTAGGCCGTCCTGGCCTGTGTGGTTCAATGGTTTGAACAGGGATGGGGAATGTCCGGCCCGCAGGCCCTGTAAGACCCAAGAAAATCATTTGGTCTGGCCCTGTCAAGGCTTTAGGGTGAGTTAATTAAATGTTTGACCAAATATAGCAGGCTAATTTTTAAGTTAATAATTTTGTATGGCCTTTAAATGATGTTATATCCAAATGGCCCCTGGCAAAAAAAAAAGGTTCCCCATCCCTGGGTTAGAGCGGTGGTTCACACACCAAAGGGTCTGAATCATGGTCAAGGGCATGTACCTGGGTTGCAGGTGCCATCCCTAGCCCCAGTCAGCAGGAGGCAACCAATCGATGAGTCACTCTCACATGTCTCACATAGATGTCTGTATGTCTCTCGCTCTCTCCCTTCCTTCTACTCTATCTAAAATCAACAGAAAAATATCCTCAGGTGAGGATTACTTTCAACAATAAAGACAACTAAAAAACAAACCAATGAAAAAAGAAGCTATTGGGTCCTGTAGTTCACATATTAGCAATTCTAGAATTTAGCTTCTTCATGATTGTGATTGTATTAATAAAAATTAACATTTAAACAAAATGGTTAGGTCAATCATATAAATCAATATCAAAGACCCAGTGCAGCAGTTATGTTTTCAAAGAGTATTTAAGATATGGAAAAAATGCCAATTTCTAACACAAGCCCGTACATATTATGAACCCCAAATGTACAATTTTCACAATGTACCATTAACAAAAGATTATTAGTAAGTGCTAAAGATGGTTTTCTTTTGGCTATACAACTTCAGACAATTACATTTCTTTTCTTCACATTTTTTTGGTGTTCAAAGATACTACTAGTATAAGCAGGAAAAAGGTTTCTTTTAAAGGGAAATTTAAAAAACAAATGCAGTGCTAGCTGGTTTGGCTCAGTGGATAGAGTGTCAGCCTGCAGACTGAAGGGTCCCAGGTTTGATTCCAGTCAAGGGCACATGGCTGGGTTGCAGGCTTGATCCCCAGTGGGGGACTTGCAGGAGGCAGCCAATCAATGATTCTCTCTCATCACTGATGTTTCTATCTCTCTTTCCCCTCTGAAATCAATAAAGATACATTTTAAAAATAATAATAAATAAAAAAACAAAAATAAAAAAACAACTGCACACAGAATTCATGAGTGTGAGTAGATAGGTAACAAGCATGTAAATCTCACACGCTTCATGTCCACACATGCAGCCCTCACCTCTAACAGGTGACCTGACAGAGTCAGTCGTGCTCCTGGCCTGTTCTACTTTGCACAGCGCTCTCGGACTGGGAATTGCCCACTGCAGCCCCGGCCAAATCGTGGATCCCCTCGATGGCGCAGCCATTCCACACACTCCACGGGCGCCCAGAGGGTCACGCCCTGCCATGTGAGACTGATTCTTCCACTTCACTCAGTCTCACCACGTGACAGCGAAGTCCCTGGGAACGGCATACCTTCTGCACGCTGTCAGCAGGACCACCCGGCCTGGGGCTCTCGTGTCCAAGCACCCAGGACAAGGACAGAAAGTGGAGATCCTCTCTTCAGGAGGTAAGCAATCGGGCGAGCTATTGTCTTGGTAGTTTCGTCTTTCTCCTGGCCTGCACACTGGGAAGTGCCCCACCCTTCCTTGATCTGAGATGGGTCAGAGTGATTTTAGGGAATAGTAACCCCATAACGTTTTTCCTGAAAGTCTCTAACACTTTGAGATCAAAGGGTGAATATGTGTAATTTAAAATTACTAAATGGCAAACTGAATGCTCTTCACTGCAGTTACTAACGCTGAATTCGCTGAATCATTAACAAAAGAAGTACAGATAAAAAGCCTGGAAAACCAGAAATTATATTATGTAGTTTTAAATACGACTATTTGGGTAAATAAAATCTTTTTGTCGGTATTGAAAAGTGCTGTCAGCACACAATGCTAGAAGTGCGACGCTAGAAGGGGGCTGTGCAACCAGCAGGATTCATGCTAGAATATTCTCCTGGACCTTTGACCTACCGGATGAAAGTAAGTGCAATAGGTGATTCTTTGAAAAGAATGACAGCATGAGGTGTCACGCGTCTTGTAAACCGCCCTGTAAACCATTCACACACTGAAAGAGAAAGGGGGAAGGAAACAGAGGAGAGGAGCCTGCACTCACCTCTAACGCTGGAGCAGGTTTCACCACTTCTCTCCCCAGGGAAGTGTCTGTAGAGGCAGAGCGAGGAGGCCCCCACTTGGGCTGTTTTGGTGTCTCTACTATCTCACTGTCCTCTGCACCCTGCAGTTTAGGAAAATCCAACCTGGTAAATTCAAACTCAGGTTTGGAGGCAGGTCCACACTTTTCAATGATTCTGGATTTTCTGTCTGTTCGTTTATGATAACCATCTGTATTTACAAATTAAAAGTAGAGGAAATTTTAGGTGTTTAATGATCTGTACTCAGGCTTAAGTTGCAGAATAGAAAATCTATTGCTATAGATGCAACATGTTATTGTCCAAACAGCCTAACTTTGCTAGTGCTATTAACCTTCTGTGTTACAGTATAAACATACACGACTGTAAGTCTGCTCTGGTTGGGCCACCAAGCAGAAAAACCAAATACTGTAAATTTCAGGAGTATTCTAAGGTTGAGGAGATAGTTACTTTGGCCTGATTGTACATCTGGGCATTTTGATTTTTCTTAATACACATTTTAGACTTTTGCAAATTTAAAGAGACATTAATAAATTTCCTTTAAGTAATAAATGGTCCCTAATTTAGTTTGCTAGAACAAACTGGAGAGAAGTAGAATTGAACTTATAACCTCTGTCCTTTCTCCTTCAAATGCAAATAAATGACAATGTAGGTTGCAATGCATAACATCTCTGTGTTTAATTATAAGGCCAGAGTCATATAGTTAACTGCTCAACTTTCCTTTCACCTTTCCATGCACCAGAGAGTTTGTAAGTGAAATCAATGCAAAGAGAAAAATGTATACACCAAGTCCCATAAACGGCACCTGTAAATAAACGACAGGCCTTTCCCAGTGAGTACACCATCAGGAAGGTTGAAGTCCTCATAGAAACAAGAGATGGCTGTAACCAAACTACATTTGGAATTAAATTTCAGGGGGAAAACACCATGTCAAATCACTAACTTTTTCAGCCACAAACCAGAATGGTAGTTTTCAAGCCAGAACAGACGACACTTCCGGCACGAATAAAATCAGCACTCTGAGCAAACACTGCCCGGGGAGGGGAGTTAGGCAGAATCGCAGTCCCAGATCAGCTGTCCCGTCTACTGAGAAATCTCCCCACAGAACTCCAGAGCAGCTGTGTGGGAAAGGAGCGTGGCCAAGCACAGGACAAGGGATGTGGTTGTGATCTGCTTTTAAGGACGGTTTGAGGTGTGCGGTCATTACCTACCTGTTATGTAACCTTAGACAAGTTCCTGTGTAACACCAGGTAATAACATGTTAAGGGCACATCAGAGCCCACATGCCACAGGTCCCCATCCCAGGAGGAAAGGCCTCCAGGATCCCACAGGAAGCCTGATGGCCTCAGCCTTTCACAATAAACCAAAGAAGCAATAGCAATGCTCCTGGGTGGGCAGAGTGGGGTGACCGAACACAAAACAGAGAGTTCATTACCTTTACCTGATTTCAAATTAGAGTCAGCACGAAAGGACAAACAATGTGAGCTTCTCACTGACTTTATATCAGATGACACAGTTCCATCAGCCTTTTTACCGGCAAACTTTTGCTCATCATATGTTTTTTTCTGCAGGAAACATAAAAAAGTAACATGAATTAGAAAAACTACAGTTGACCCTTGAATGACCAGCCTCCCAACAATAGATAATCTGTGTGTAACTTCTGACCCCTCCAAAACTTAATAGACTACTATTGACCAGAAGCTTTACTGATAATATAAACAGTCAATTAACACATACGTTGTATTTTACATGTATTATATCCTGTACTTTTATAATAAAGTGCACTAGAGGAAAAAATATGTTAAGAAAATAGTAGGGTTTGCCTGCATGCTTTTTCAAAGGGTTGCAAATCTCCTAAAAATTTTCTAATACCGTATTTGCCGGCGTATAAGACGATTTTTTGGCCCTGAAAAATATGCCTCCAAGTGGGGGGTCGTCTTATACGCCAGGTACACTTTAGATAGACTGCCCATAGTGCTTGCCCCGTGCCATAGTGGCCTCCCGATGCCCGCCCACTTCATTCCACATACCGTTCAGGCATCAGCAGCGCTGCTGGGTGTAT